AGCAGAATGAGCATATTAAAGATAATTTGAGAATAATGAACTGGAACAATGATTATTAGTGGTCATATGAGAGGAAATATTGATAATGAACCTAAATAATGATCTTATAAATTCAACTAGACTTGTTTTTTCACTGCTAAAGAGGACATAATAAAAGTCTGAAAATTCTTCACTGAGTTTATATGTAATGTTTATATGTAAAGATTTAAATTATCGGAGGTCTGATAAAATAATACAGCGAATAAGCCATAGTTCAAGAACGTATCACATTCCACAGAAAGGCACACATCCTATCAATGTGATATAAGCTTTAGATAATTTTTTGATGATAATTTTTCAAAAATGTCATAATGGCTTCTAGTTTCATTCCAGTTTTAATGGAAAATGAAATAATAAAAAAATCGATTTCATTTCCTGCGATATACAGTACATTACTTTGTTCATCCTATTTTACACTCAGTTTGAAAGGTGAATGATATTTAACTTTAAAAAAAAATACAAGTATGTAATGTCTAGTGCTAAAATATCATGCCTGTTGATAAATGTTACTTTTTAAAGATCTGTATGGTTATCAAAATTGATGAATAAATAAATAAAAATAGGCATTGAATTATGTGTAATAAGCAATCCCCTCCAACTTGGCGGCTGTAGACGTTTATAGGCATTGACCACTCTACTGAGGCTAGAAGCGGTGATGACTTTATTGTTGAGGAGGTTAGATGCTTCCCTAATAAAGAGACAACCGCTAGGTAGGCCACGGTTACTCTTACGTAGGCACAGACAATTTACATCCCTGCCTTCTCCGGGACTCAAACGCGGGGCCTTCGGTAGGGTAGTCAGTCACTAACCACTTCCAGTCTGTGCAGCGTGTAATATACAATAGTTTTATATAAAAATAAACTAACAGTTTAGTCATGTGTACCGTATATAGCCGCGTATTAGTCGAGATATTTTGGACAAAGGAAAAAAAAAAAAAAAAAAAAAAAAAAAAAAAAAAAAAAAAAAAAAAAAAAAAAAAAAAAAAAAAAAAAAAAAAAAGACTTCAAAGTAAGGGGTCGACTTATATGCGGGGCCATAAAAAATTTATAGAATCGGAAGTTCAAAAATTTCTTTATATAATGCATTTGTTTTCTTCCCGCACTCAAATTGGACGACTTATCAAATAAGTCATTTATTTGAAGTAATTTCATGACTTAAATTATGTGACGAACTAATCACAGAGTTTCATACTTTAACTAGAGTAAGTTTTAATTAAACCAAAGAATTTTCGGCTCCCGAACAACCGATCAATATCGAGCAATAAAGTTTGCCTGGAACGAAATACCCTCTGAAATGATTATAAAATCATTTAAAAAATGTTGTATTAGCAACGAACTAGACGGCACGGAAGATGCTGCTGCTTTTGAAAGTGAAAATGACGACGAAGACTCTAGTAGTGATTGTAACAATACAGAGTTCGAGACTGAAAATATGTATGATGACGAGCCAATGACGACAGAAGAGTTCTATGAAATGTTTGGCGAATCTGAGAATGAATCGGACGTTGAAGGATTTTGATTTTGTTTATTTACCACGGTATTTTTTATCGTATATTTACTTTTTTTTTCTCAGATGATTTTGAATAAATGTAGTACTTAAAAAGAAATTTGAAGTTTCTCGATCGATTTCGGAAGTGGGGGGGAGGTCGACTTATACGCGGGTATATACGGTAAATTAAAATTTGATAATGTGTAATCTAAATCACTTTTATAATTTTAAGTTAACTTATATTTTTGCTTTGCTTTATGTACAAATATGTAAATTACTTGTAAAGCAAAAACGTTACGATAAAATATTATTTTACAGTATCGTTAAAAGAAAAGAATAAATTGCCAAAAGCTTTAAAAACTATATAAATACTTTTCATAACATATAGATCTTTTATGCCATTTTCAATACTTTTATCAATGTTATAATTAAAGAAATCAACTGTAAAATTTGGTTAGAGAAACACTTCAACAGGGAAATATATCAAATTGCTTTTGAAAGTAAATACTGTAAAAAGCAATTTGATATATTTAACATAACAAAAGTATTTCGTATAGGTATCTCTAATTTGCTAATAAGCATATATTACACAGAATGTGCCAAACTGACTGCATGACAAAATATTTCTTGAAAGGTTGCTGGTAAACTTAAGGCTTGATTGTAAGAAATGCTTACAATAAAATATCCGTTCAGGTTACTTATTACTTCCTTGTACGAAGTAAAAAGGAAGTATTGTAATCGCGAAAAGTTTCAAGCAGCATATTTCAACGAAAATATCCATTTTGACCGCCATCGAATGAAATTTAACGATGTTTTCGCGTGATATCTGTACGTAAGGACAGAGTAAAAGACTCTTTTCCTCCAAAAAAATTATAAAACTGCTTTAAAATGAATTCCGAAGAGAATTTTTCGTGGCGTCTGTACGAACGTATGTACGTGCGTACGTATCTCGCATAACTCAAAAACGAATAGCCTCAGAACGTTGAAATTTTGTATATAGGACTGCTATAACATGTAGATGTGCACCTCGTATTTTGGTTGCAATCGGCCGCACCAAACGTGTATAAATATATTGATATATATATCCACTCTGTTACCCGGCTCAGTAATCTCAGTTTCTTTACTCTAATATGTTTGTAAATTGTACATTTTTTTTGCTTTAAAAATGATTGAATTATGTTGTTCTTATCTTCCGGTTAAGGTTTTTATGCCTTTAGTAAATCTGTGTGCAATATTTTTAGAAGTATCAACAATTTTAAAAGTGTTTAAGTACCGCTAAGCCTTAATAATGTTTTTGATGGCGGCCATTGCTTGTTTACATTTGAAACAGCAGAATAGTGAATTTGTTGCCAATCTAGAGAAACTTAGCTTCGCAACAACAAAGATAACGCCTTCATTTATTATTGCCAATTAAATCATGCTTAATCCTTTCTGGAATTTTTTCGAGGAAATAAGTGTTTAAGATTTACTTCGTAATTTTTAATACAAATATTTTGACTTTTTATGTATTTTTGCCTTGTTGCGAAGTGATAACTGAATTAATTGAATGAGAAGTACTCAATCATCTGTGAAAAACTGTTTCTTTTTTTGTTTTGTTTGCTTAATTTCTTTCTTTTTAATTTCTTTCTTTTTAATTTCTTTTTTAATTTCTTTGATACATCGTTCTAACTTTATTATAGTATTTGAATAGAACATGTGGCAACGATTAGATAATTCTTTAAATTATATAAATTTTGTGCATTCTGAGTTATAATATGAACGAAATATAATACTGTTAAGTGAACCTAGCGCCAGAGTGTCGCTATGGTAAACAAATAGAGTAAATTTAAAGAATGCATTTATTCTATTGTGGTTAATGCGCTGTCGGCGAAGAAGATTTAATTCAATTCAATAAGTTTAAATGAAATGCAAGACAAAATGCGTATAATTTAATATTTCGTACAAGGAAGTCATGTGGTGTACACATCAGATTTTTTAAAATTTTTATAACTTAACACTTTTTATTAAAAATGCTCGAAATTAATTTTTTTTTGTGCGAGCATTCTGCTAAGAAGGTTACATTACTTATCTGATCTATAACCCCTTAGAGGTAATTTTTAGGAGAACAGAAAACGAAGTTTCATAAAAATTGGCCCTGGAAAAAATTCCAGTATTATATAACTTAGTTTACTTCCATCCGCAGAAAAATAGTAGGAGGAAATTTGATATGTTATATAAATACTGAATTTCGCTGCATAAAAAACTTCATTATTTGGCTTAATTACGAATAGAAAATTGAAATCTGATATTTTATATTCATGTTCATATGTTACAAATGGTATCTTTTAGAAATCTGCTTTCGAAAACTTATTATGGTGTTTAACATGGAAAGGATTTTTCGCCTATGGCGACATTTTTCTTTAAAAATTTTCCGCTAAGATGGCAGTATGAAAATATTTGCTAAGAAATGCTCCATGCCAAAACTTCTTTTGACAGGATAACGTAACTTATTTGATACATTTATTTAAACTAAAACCACAGACCTAAGATCAGTTCTTCAGCATTTTGGAAAACATACTATATTTTAACTTGGGTGTATCGATTAGCAAGATTGTTACTAGAAAAAATTATATTTCATATGGAGAGCAGTCATGTCAAAATTTTTGCACAGCATAACAGCAAAGTTAGTTTTGTTCATAAATAAAGGAAATATACCAGATCATGAAATTTCGTGGGGCGGGGGAAGATTTCTCAGTTTTATTTGCTAAATCATAAAAGTTTGTCAGTCATAAAAACATTTTCTTTAAATTGTTTGTGTAAATCCGAATAAGCTGATCTGTTGTTAGCTGAGCTGTTATGCATCAGTCAATATTAAAAACAGATATGTGTGCAAGCATGTCAGAAATTAATCCTTTTGCCTTTTTTATTACCTTTTGTAAAAAATGATGCACCCTTTATTCCCTAGCTCCTGATATAAAATAATAATAAAACATTTTTTTAATCTTGAATTTTAACCTTCCATTAGCTGAGTGGGTAAAACTATTAAGCATTAATGGTTCGCTTTCGGCTGTTGCTTCCCAGGTTTTATACAGCCTTTTTCAGTTGAAACAGAAATGGAATTAGACAGTCTGAAAATACTTATTTGGAATACTTAGAAAGAAATATAATTCAGATAAACTAATTTTAAATTGAAATTATCGGCAAATTAAATATTCAAATAAAACCATGCATGGGCATATCCAGCTAGCTAAAATACCGTGAAAATTTTAACATAGGAATATTTAAATGGAATGATATTTTCTTATAACGATCAACAACGGCGTAGATTGGTTTTGTGGTCTCCTTAGAGAAGTGATGTTTGATACTATTATTCATTTATGCTTTAAGAAATACTGGTAATTTTCTGAGAGGGTTGCCGTGACAGGTTTCACTGTATTTGTTTTAGTCTGCTTTGGCTTTAGCAAAAGAATTTCACTTATGTTCTTGTTCCCTAGATGATCTCGAAGATGTTCCAGGAATTGAGAGATACAGCTGAAGCAGCCAAAACTATCAGCAAGAGTAATGGTCGCTTCGTTACTATGAAACCGAGGACTCCGACTGTCGGAGCTAGGTTTCATGATTCCCTCCAGTCATTAGTTGACACAATGGCCAAGTAAGTTTTATGTTTGATAATTTCTTGATTGCTAATTGTCATATTAATGATTAATTTTTGTTTCAAGATCTATAAGAGATATTAGTAAGGCATGTTCCGGCACTAGAACTAAGAACATCAACTGCAAATTATTACAGCTGCAACTATTGCAGTTGCAAACGAATAAGAATAATAATTATCACTGAAAAATTAATTCGAAGACTGTTGCGAACTATTTCAAATACTGAAAAAAAAAACTTTTAAATTTGAATCAAAAACTATTTTAAAATAGCACATTTGTTTTATACTATTTTAATGAAGCACGGTTTTAAAGAATTCAGACCATATATTTGATTAAATATATTTTTAGGTAAACGTAAAAAATATACATAATGTGTGAGCAAACAAATATACATTTGAATATTCTACAAACAAGAATAAAATTATATTTCAATGACTATCCTGAAAAAATATGCATTGAATTTATGTTTAAAATTAATAAACATGAGTACTTGTTGTGTTTCATATTTTAAATTTTTCAAATTCTGCTTCCCAGTTAAGGATTAGGAATTTGCCACTTATGTATTTGCCTTTGCCAAGAATTATCTCCAGAACTTTCGGCCACTTATCCTTCTTATCCCAAGAAATTTTACTTGTTCGAATTTAAAGATATGCTTATTATATTTCCTTCATTAGGAAAAAGTTATACATCTTGAATCGAGATTTATTTTAATGAAGACTCTTGATAACGATTTTAAAGAGATGAACTGCTCAGTTTTATGAATAAGTTGAACTTAAGATTAAAGATTTCTGGAAATCGTATTTTTTTTTTTTTTTTTTTTTGTTTTTTTTGTTTTTTTGTTAATGCAGGCTTTAGCTTTGTATATTATTAATCCCTACAGCAATTGCTTTCTGTTTTCCAGATGCCACCCCTGGTTCGTTCGGTGCATCAAACCCAATAATGAGAAAGCACCTATGAAATTCGATATGCTTATTGTTCTCGAACAGCTCAGGTACTCAGGAATGTTGGAAACAATCAGTATCAGAAAAACAGGATATCCTATTCGAATGAAATTCCAACAATTCGCTGAAAGGTAGGTTTCCTTATTATTATACTGTTGCTTTGGAATTTATTATATAAAATCTATTTAAAATTTTCTGTCTTCCTTAAAAGCTTCCTATTTCTTTGAAATAAGAGTATAAGAGTATTTATTGTTAATTGCTCTTTTTAAAAAATATATCAAACTGATGAAAATATTAATCCTATAATTTTTTTGCAGTGCTTATTTATTAAGAAAGAGACTGACCCAATGAAACGAAATTAAGAAAAAAAAAAAAAAAAAAAAAAAAAAAAAAAAAAAGTTTCATAGTCTTTGTAAGAGTATTTGATTCACGGTCTCACTTCAGCTTCATTTGGAAAATAATAAATGTTATTCGAAACTTTACAGTTTTGCATAAGAAGGTTGTTTAAGATGAATGGCTTTAGATCAAAAGTTTTGATAATTAAGCTTTGAAATTAGTACCTATGATAATTATACATTTGACAAATATTAAATTTTAAAATTAATATTACGACTTGCAAGTTGTTTTTATTTTCTGAGCAGAACTAATTTACTAAATAGAATCATGTCCAAAGTTACCTTTACATGCATTAAATCACAGACGTTTTGGTAGAAAAAGCACATTATAACTTTATGAATCTGTGAGAAACGATACATAGCATCTTAAAAAATAAATAGAAAGAAAAAGTTTAAAAGAACTGCATATGATATAAAACTGGAGCATAAAAAATGGTAATAATGGTAATAATAATAACAAAAGAATAATTTAGAAAAAAATCATGGCTTATGAATTTAACGTGGAATGTGATCTTCTCTGTCTTGTACATCGCAACAAGTTTTTATGCTGCCAATAACTTTGTTAACTACAGTTTGGGGAATTAATTTCCACTTCTTCAGCAATGCAGTCTTCAGGGTATTTGTATCTTTAGGAATACGATATCTCCGTGCAACTGCTTTTCCAAGGTAGTCTCATTAATTGATTACGAGGTTAAGGTCAAAAGATTTTGTTAGCGATGGTATTCGCTCAATGGCATCTCTTTCAAGAAATTCGTCAACGAGATTTTCTCAACGTGGACGAGCATTATTATCCATAAATAGAAAGTCAGATTCATATGCACATTCTAAAAAGGCTTGCAAAAGTTCTAAGACCTCATCCCGTTACCTCTGGCTAATTACAGATCTACTGTTGAAACGTGTAGGGGGTGGAGGCCCATTGACCATTATTACTCCCCATACCATCACGCGTGCATTAACCAAACGGTCACGTTCCATGACGTTCGAAAGAAGATTTCGCGTTCCTGACCCACTTCAGATGTAAACTCGTTTAGAATCGGATTTTAAACTAAATCTCGACTTTTAGTAAGGAGAACATGAGACCATCGGTGGTCACTTTCATTTCTGATGTTCTTCGTACCGATTATAGTGATCCCTCGTTTGTTGTTGGAAGACAGTGAAACACACACCCTTAGCTGTCGGGCATAGAAATGTCTTTTTCATTAAGTCTGTTATATTCAGTTTACCATGATACAACAGCCCTAGTGACGACTGCAAACTCTGAACTTAACTGGCGAGCAATAGACTTCCTGTTACGACTTAGCAGTTATTCCTAGATATCGGTCTTGAGAGGTAGTTGTTATTTGTTTAGGATCTTGTCCAGGAAAAGTCTGCCCTGCTTCTGAACGACTGATGATTCACCACTTCAAGATTCTTACAGAAGATACCCCAGAGCCATAACAAACTATTTCGTGCCCTTACTCAGCGAAATCAAAAGTTGCATTACAGAAATTCATTCAGATTTTTGCTTTGGGCAAAGCGTTTGATTCATCATGCCTTGACGTATCAGAAATAGTTTGATTACATCTAATTGGATGATGCCAATTAGGCTTGTCTTTCACACATTCCCTGCAAAAATAGATTTCATCGCTTGGAAATTTCATGGACTATCATTATTTTTGTGTACGTTAAGATAAATTTGGACATGAGTGTATTTGGAGCAGAGTCTTAATGAATGCTTCTACTTTTTATCTCGAGACGACACGGAGATAAGTCCTTCATAGAGTACAAATGCATTCATTAATTATCTAATCAATTTTACTATATTCATAAGATTTACTGCAGTAATTTTTGAAAAATAAATTTGATAATTTTATTTAACAGATGTAGGATTTTTGTGCCAAATGTACGGAAAATTACCTGATAAAATAATTTAAAATAAAATAAGTAATATGCTGTGATATCACTCTTTGAGATGAAAATTAGAGTACCGTAATTAAGACACAATAACACGCCGAATAAATGCTACTTCTGAATTAGAGTACCGTACTTTTTACTTCGCATACATTTTATTTTCCACTCCTTTATTATCCGATTTTACTTACTTTAAAAGTCGAAATTTTATAAGACGTGTGTTTTTATATGATGGATGTGTTTTGTATTTATGCATTATTTTTTTCATGGAGTGCTTAAATATTTTTCTGTATGTTTCCAACTGTACATCATATTATATGATAAAAATGTTTCGTAGATTAAGGTTAAATATCAGAAGCAAAGCATTTCATACTGAAAATGCAAGTAAATAAATATACAGATTTAATTTGCATATAAAGTGCATTCTTTTGCGAAATGAGTCTGTTGCCATTTGACCTTGCCTACGCATTTCTGCTCTTTTCCCTTGATGCTGAACTTTAAATAAATTTTCAAAAATGAGAGTTAAAAAAAAAAAAAAAAAATGTAGCCGCGAGGTGGGTAAAAATGTCACGTGTCGTCGAAAATAGTCTCTGGTATTTATCAATTTAGTTTTTTTCGCGATCTTTAAACCGGTTTTTCGCCAAGATTTTTGACATCTGTATTTATGACTAGAGAGAGCGAAGGGAGGAAATCGTAAAGTTTCCCCCCCCTTTTTTTTTCTCTTTAAACACTATTTTAGGAGTGATCGATATGTTATGATCAGCAGGGATTATTGAACTGCTGTATTTCAGCTGAGTGATAAGTGATCTCTTTTTAAGGAAGCATAAAACTTGTTCTGTAGATACTACATTCTTATTTGAACATTGATTTGGCTTTTTGTATTTTAAAAATAATAATATAAATATCATGGAAAAGTAGATTTTTTGTTTGGAGGGAGTCAATTATTTTATTTATTTTTAATCTAGCGCTGTAGCTCTAGAAGAAATTTAATCCTAGCCAAATCGGTTTTTAATTCTTTATGCTTGAAATGCTTCTCTGTAGAGACATGTATTACTATCGATTTCTGTAGGAAACATTTCTTTTATCTCTTACATCTAGAAAAAAATAAATCGTTTTTATAACGTAAGATTGGTACTTACTAAGTTAACGGTTCCCGCGATACAACGCCAATGATCGTTGCAAATTGCTGTCAAACGGCCGGCAATCCTAACTGTTGCGATTGCACATGTTATCTATTGTAGCGGAAGGATTATTTAGAATTAGTTCTTGCGTGATTTGTTTAAATAATCCTCCGAGCATTACAGGTTTTGCTCTCAAATTTCCCCAAATGGCATCAATAAGTGGTATTTTCCTAATTATAATTTCATTTTCCTCCTCGCCCCCCCCCCAAACAGCGAGCACTATTTTTCTTTTTGTTCCGACACTGGCTACTCCCTAAGACCGTAAGTGGTGGCCATATTATTGTGGAAGCACCACCGTTACCTCCTCTATATGGGCGGACAGTTACAACTATGCCTTCCCCGGGATTCGAACCTGTGCCCTTCGGTATCGTAGTCGGCTCCCCTAACCACTATACCATCTGGGCGGCTTATAATTTCAAAATTGTACATTGACTCCATTCTTCCAATATACATCCAACTCGAAATCGGATTGATCAGGATCTGACAGAAATTAACATGTGTAACAAATGAAAAGTCATCTTTCAATACGGAATTTTATGTACATAATCCTTGGAAGGTTAATTTGATCGGTTGTCATATATTAAATAATAGATATCGACCGTTAAGGGTTAAAATATATATATAAAGAAATTTTTGAATAAAAACTTACTTGCAGTGATAGCCGACATCTTTTATTCTTGTCAAAATAATCTTCATAAAAAATTTTCACAACTAAATTAGTTCAATATACGAGCCAAATCTTTCGCCTTTCTATAATACATTTGAAGAAAAACACAGTGAAAAGCAAGCTCATATATGAGGGAAGCTGAGAAGAAATGTTCAGATGGTTGTGCTATGAAGGTTGGGTTAAGAATAATATAGTCATGGTTTGACTTTATTCCCATCAATTGGTTAAATTTTTGGTTACTTTATTATAACTTGAAAAACTTTTTGCATTATTCAAATACATACGTCATTAGTGTTACATAAAATTAACGTGACAAAGATTAATTTTGAAATGACGCAGTTTAGAGGAATTTATTAAAAGCAAGTTACTGGTTTAGGATAGAAAGAGTCTTAAAAATCTTAGTTCACATATTTTTTATCTTACATATATATTCCTAAAAGACTGAGTTGTAACAATCAGTTTATGTCAAGCAGGTAAATACTAATTTCGGTACTGCAGTGTGCGTTTAAGAGTATTTCATTCTATCAGAAAAAAAAAAAAAAAGTTTAAAAATATATATGCAGTAGAAAATTCGATGGATAACGATTTCGGTTTGCCAAAGTAGTTTGTAAATAAATAAATAAACCACGTAAATGTATACAAAATTTATAATATTTCGGTTTGCCGAATTAAAAAAAATTATTTGGCAATATGTAGCTATTTTCGAGTTAAATTATAAGGTTATATTTTCTAGGAGTTTTAGAGCTCATTATGTATGATTTCCGCGACATATAACTGGCAAGTTAAATTTTAATTTTTTATTTCCAGACATGTCTTGTATGCAAGCCTTTATATAAAATCCTTTACTCAGACTCCGATGATATGCAAAACCATGCGCATTTCTCTTCTTACTTTTTAATCCGGTGGAAATTTCGTCCAGAGAGAGTTTTATTTCTCGATCTCTAAAACAATCCCGCCCTAATCGCAGAAAAGGACTCACCGAGAATCGTGTCGTCGTC